GGATGACCTCTGTGCTACAGAATATTGAAGTTTCACAGCTGCTGCTTCTTTCTCCATCCCAGACACACACCTGGGAGACGATGGCCTAATCTCATTCTCCCGGGGCCCCAAGAGTAGGAGAAAACACAGGCCCCAGGCCAAACAGAGCCATCAGAAACTGAGCAACACTACCAGAGTGGAGCAAGAGGGCCATCTTTTGCAAATCTGAAATCTGAGCAAGGGAGCAGGTCAATGTCCTCTTCTTGAAAGGAAACTCTGTATTCCCTCCTTTGGGAATGAGTGTGTTAGGGATGGGAGATACTGTCCATTGAGGCATTTACTGGGCTGTATGGGCCCCAAAGTTGGCAATGCTACATAGGTTTGTGCACTCCAGAGGATCCGGGGTTGAGGGGTTGGGAATGAGAGCACGTGCTCCTGGAGTGAATATAAAGACATGAGTGCCTGCGGAGTAAGGACTGTTGGTTTAAGGGCACAAGATGTAGGTGGGGTCCTGCATGTGTCCCTGTTGGCGCAGGAGGACATTTCCACTCTGGGAGGACAAGGAATCCATTTCAGATGGTACTTTGGGAATGACGTCGATATTAGCCTGGGACAACAAAGAAACTTGGGGTGGTTTCAATAGGTCCAAAAAGTTTTTAAGAAACTTTCAATAGGAAGGAATCTCTTGGCAGAATAAAGGACAGCAGTCACCAAAAGATGCTCCAGGGGTTTTAGAGAAGCACACCTTGAACTCTATCCAATATGACAGCTCTGACATTTCCAGTGTGAAGGGAAGAGAAGATAAGGAACACCTGAGTGGGCTGACAGACCAGTTAAGGGAGCACTGTTGAAGTGGGGGACAGGTCTGACATTGCCTCAGAGCTGATGGCAGGACTTTCCGTGCTCTTGTGTACTATGATCAGTGAGCTGTGTGAATACCATTTCTTGTCTTGATGGAACAGGAATTGATGTGACATCTGCAACCACTTTTCCAGCCCTTTGCTGCCACAGCCTGGCAGAATTCTGCCTGGCACTGAACAAATGCCAAAGTACTAATGTGTGACAGAAGAGAACAGAAAAAAGGCAGCTGGAAGGTGTGAGAAGGGCCTCCTATTACCTCTCAGGACATTCAGATCAAAGCTAATCAAAGATAAGAAAACTTTTTACTGGAAAACAAATTAGAATTGCCTTGCAGCAACCTTGGAAGTCTCTGACATGTAGTCTCCAATCCCTACGTAGCTGTCTCAATTTATCTGTCAGATTAACCCTGACACAGTGGCCATCAACTTAAATAACTTTATTCAGAGAAACCCTTTGGTCCACTTCTGCTGACTCAACCCCTGCCCCAGCTCACAACAGAGAGCTAAGCAAGGCAGCTTAAGCTGGAGACCCAAGCCCACTCTGCTCTCAGCTTTATAAAAGCAGGCAAAAGTACTGGCAGCTGCCACCTCCCGCCATCCATCTAGCCCTTATTGGAACCACAGGCTCAGTGTACTAGAGAAAAACCATCCTGGCTGAAGCCCAGGAGCCAGGCATATTATGAGGATAACTCAACCATGATGAAAGATGGTGTGAGGTGCAATTCCCCTCTCCCTCTAAAATAAGAAAAAAAGAGTCTGGGGAACAAGGGACTTTTTCATCTGCTAAGAAAAACCCTTTCTCACATAGTCCTGCCTGAGAGAGCCACTTCCTGAAGAAGCCCCCATATACCGGGCCTTCAACATCTTCCTTCGTGTGTGAAGGGTAGGGTAAAGGATAGGGTACTTTGTGACTATTTCCCAGATAAGAGCTGAATTGGCTTCTCAGAGGATGGAGAGTGGAGCAGGCCTGAGCTTCTCCAGAGCCACAGTCTGTCTCAGCCCAGAAGCCTCGTCACCTGCAGCTTGGAGAGATGGCCAGGATGGAATCTGGGCAGGAAGGCCTGTGGAGACAGTAGGCCTCTAAGGACATAGAGGCTGTCACCGTTTCTGGCAGCATGAAATAAGCACAGGCTTTCAAACAGAGCTGGGCGGTCCACGATCTTGTGTCCATCAGCTCACCACAGACATGAAGCAGTAACAGATCAGCATAAGTTCTGGATCGAGGACTGAAGAGGGGGCAGTGGGGAGAAGTGGCTGTAGAAACTCTCATTTATTGAGTACCCATTATTTCATAGACTGTGCCAAGTGTTTTACATTCATTTTCCCATTTTAATCCTCACAACAACCCTATGAGGTAGGTATTATCACCATTTATAAACAAGAAAACCGGCTCAGAAAAATTAGGTCACTTGCCCAAGGTCACACAGCTAGTCGGCAGTGGAGATGGGATCTGTCTGTGGCTGAAAGCCCGTATTCTTTTTATTATACCCATCTAGGTCAGCTTTGGGCAAAAGGCAGTTTCACTGCCCAACTCTGCAAAGAGCACCTGGGAGTGGAGGTTGTCGGCCACACTCACCGCTGGTAGGGATGCATGGAAGCCGACTTGATGTTGGTTTTTATTCCACTTGGCATTTTCCCTAAAAGGAACATGAAGAAAGACACCTGAAGCACAGTAAGATGTTCATGGTAAATCAGAAATGTGGTCCCTCAGTTTCCCTCCTGCACCTCCGCTATCATCTCAGAATCTCTGTGGCATCTGACCCTGGACGGCAAGGCTCAGAGGTATGGCTCTTCGTCCAGCCCTCTCCCTGAAGGTGTCTAGGAGGAGGAATAGTGGGAGGGGTTGGAACACACCTGGCTCCTGCTCACCCCCTCCTAGAAAAAGAGAACTAAATCTGTGGGACCCCCATTTAATGTCACAGGTAAAAGAGTGCTATGTTCTCTCTTATTTTAATTGTCCCTTTGCCTAGACAGCTTGGAAGAAAATACCTCTTCTAGCTGCTTGCATCTGAACTCTGCCAGGCTATTCTTATAATTACTAAAAGCGAGCAGGAGAGACAGGATACAGAGAAAGGAATACACACAGCACCGGGAAACTTGCCTGCTTGTCCATTCCCAACACACCTACCCAATCGTCCTAATGAAGGTCTGACCATTCATTTCGCTACCTAAGACAAGACTGTGAGAACACACCTAATATCCAGAGTTAAAGGGGACAGAAGGGTAGTTGAGACCGAGGTCTGAGATGGGGTGGGAGGCGAGAGCAGTTTCTGCTTGTCAAAGTTCTTCCTCATTGTCTGGTACCTATTAACGGTCTCAAATGAGACTTTTACTCCAAAAGTTTTTTTTTCTGGGTCACAGTCCAAGGTAGAAAAGGAGAATATCTCCAGCTCTGGGGATGCTGGGGCCCCAGATAACCCAGCTTATTCCCACTTCCCTGCTCAAGGTCTGCCACCATGCCAATCCCTGTCACCTTACCTGGTTGACCTGCTTGGGCCATCTGCACCCCACTGAGCATTGGCTGCTGCTGACTTGGAGCTCCTGCCATCTGCACCTGCTGTAATCCTGAGGCTCCTGCGAGGATTGTCCCAGCTCCTGGCTGGCCCGGCTGGCCAGGACCACTGCTGCCTGAAGGCCTCCAATTAGACAGCCCCTTCCCAAAGGCAACAGCTGCCACTAACGCGTTGGTGTCTGCTGGGTTAAAGGTCTGCTTGTTCGGCCGGAGACCTGAAGAAAAAGGTAAGTGGGGACCCCGAGGTATGCCTCTGGCCCTGGACCGAACCTAGCAGCAGGAAGACCAGTATGGGTATCAGGGCTTGGAGTTCCAACTTCAGCAGAATCTAGGCTCCCTGGCAGCCCAGAGGAAGAGCCAGAGGACCCCCATGACTATCTCAGAATACTCCCTTCTCCCTTTGCCCATTTCCTCCACCTGCTCCAGGGCTGGCCAGAAATACAAAAGGCTAACAGAATGGACGCATACCTTTTCCTAAGCAGCACATCCTTACGTCCTCACTTCACCACTACCAACACCACCCTTCCTATTGATCTTATCCCTCTTTCCTCCTCCATTTTGCCACCAATCCCTCCATACCTCCACTCTCGGCTTCTCGTTCCTCTTTGCTGATTTTCTCCAGAAGGTTTGAGCACATTTTATTCAAGCTCTGGATCTGCTTCTGCAATACACATAAATTTGTGCAGAGATTAGGGCAAGCAAGAAATGATTACAGGGAATTTTCTTTCTTGGGCTATTCCAGGGGCAACTGAGGGGTAACCAGCTGTGCATCCCTACCATACAGAGGTGGTAATGCCCAGCTTCTCATGATAAAATTCGGGGTGGGGGGAGCAGGGCAGTGACTCAGTCCAACCTGAGCTGCATCAGCACCAAGGCGGGCAGCATCCGTTGTCAGCTGCTTCTCTTGCTCTTCTACCTCAGGGTCAGGCTTGGTTCTCAGATGGTCAGGGACCACCTCATGGCTAAAAACAGGTACCCGTCCTTCAGTCTGCCTCTGTAACACACAGATTTTATTGATCCTACTGTGCACTCCAAGAAGATTCAATCTGGCCTGATATATACATAGTTCCTTCCACAGGCAAACAGTGCATTTTCAGGGAAAACACAACCTGAGACTAACAATATCTGGCTTCCTAAGACACTATCCCCCTCACTCCATCCTTCAGTTCTGTCTATTCACTCCCCTATCTCTACCAGACCTAAGGATAAACCTCTCTCTGTCACATTTAAATCAAAGATCGAAAGAGAAAAAGTCAGGGACTTCCCTGGTGGTCCAATGGTTAAGACTCCGTGCTTTCACTGCAGGGAGCACGGGTTAGATCCCTGGTCGGGGAACTAAGATCCCACATGCCACGCAGCTCAGCCAAAAAACAACAACGACAAGAAAACCAAAAAAAAAAACCAGAAAAAGTCACAAAAGAACATACTTTCTGCTCAAGACAGGTGTTGGAAGAAAAAGGTCTTTGTCTTGGTGACATATGCCTCAGATTAATTCAGTTTGGGAGTGGCTCTCCCAACTCCAGGACAAAAAGCAAAGCCTCCAAAATGCGCCCTCGCTTCTTACTGCCACACACTACTGCAGATTCAGAACTTCTAGAATAGCCAACCAACCACTGTGCCCTCAGTCCTCATCTAAGAACTTAATTTCCCAAGTTGCACCCCTCTCCTCCTCTTACCATGAGATCTTCATCTCGGTCTGGGGACAACACCAGAGGGATGATGACCTGGTTACGGAACAGTGGTGTCTTTTCATGCTTCAAGACCTTGTTCAGAGTGTTCAACTGTCCAGAGAGCAAGGCAAAGCTGTCCAGGACAGATGGCCTGGTGGTGGAAAGAAGGTGTCAGAATGTTCCCAGTAAAGGAGCCTTAAAGGGGTCCTTCAGACTAGGAATACCCAGACTCACCCCCAAAACACTCATAGCCCTATGGCTGGCCTGGGCAGCAACTAGCCTGGCTCACAAGGATTATGCGGTTAAGAAAGAGGGACACACTTTCAGTTTCTGATACAGATGGAGAAGAAAGGCAGGTCATTATAGCAGGCCCCCCTTATCTGCAGTTTCACTTTCCGAGATTTCATCTACCCGTGGTCACCCACAGTCCAAAAATATTAAATGGCAAATTCCAGAAAAAAACAATCCATGTTTTAAACTGGGCGCTGTTCTGAGCAGCGTGACGAGATCTTGCTTCATCCTGCTCTGTCCCACCCAGGACGTTAATCACCACTTTGTCCAGCATATCCATGCTGTATACACTACCCACCCCATTAGTATAGAAAAAAAACATAGTATATACAGTATAGGTTTCAGTACTATCATAGTTTCAGGCATCCACAGAGGGTCTTAGAACTTATCCCCCACAGATTAGGGGGGACTACTATATTTGAATGGGGGTGAGGACAATGGCAAAATAGGAACCATGGCTACACTATTATCACTAAAACTTCAGAAACCGGGTAAAAGTCTCCTTTCTGGCCTAAAAATAGTATCCATATTTCCAGAGTAGATTGGACCTAAAAGACTCAGCAACATCCATGGCAAGAGATCCAGTATGAATACTGTAGTGGGAGGACCCACTGCGGGAGGACCTCCTCCCAGAGAAGTCAAAGGATGAGAATCAAAAGCTAGTGAGAACCCAGGCTGGAAAACTGGGCATTTCTCTACTTCCTTACCATGGGGGCCCAAAGCCAACTTCAGTGTTAAATGTTGGGAAACCCAACTCTTTCTAAATCAAGAGATGTTTGCAAACTGATAAATGGTTACGTCACTGGAGATGTCCTATCCAGCAGGTGGCCTGGCCCCCCACCCATGGAGCCCTCCCCAGCTTGCCCTGGCAACCCTTACCAGGTCAGCCGGTCATATTCATTCTCCAACTTGTAAATGAAACTCCCCAGCGAATTCTTCAGATCAGCCACTTGACTCAGCAGTGCATCTAATGATGCCTCAAGCTGCTTCTCCTCCCTCTGCACCAATAGGAATAGGTTGGTTACTCAGATGAGTGTGAGGATGACACATACAGAGGAAGGCTGAAAAGCCAGGATGCAATACCAGTCCAGTGACACAGGATCTCATTGGCATAGGGAGAGCCAGGTTGTTTACTTTCTTTGGTATTAGGGTTACAGACAGCATCAACCCTTAGACCTTTAAACCCATTCATCTGACCTCAATTCCTCCTACCTACTGATTCCTTTCTCTCATTGCTCCTAATCCAGGCCTGGTTTTTCTCTGTATTAGGTACACTCTATTCTCTCCCACTGAGAAATTTTCACCAGACCTAATGCCTGGGCTTTATTATCTTTTGGGCACCTCTGCAGCATACATACTCTGACTTCCTCTGTCCTAAAACCTGCCGGTGAGTGTAGCCGTTCTTGCCCATAATACAATCTCTGGAAAATCTACCTACACATGAAGGCTCTTCTGAATACCTGCCACTGCCACGGCCACCACCGCTCACCCCCCACCTTCATTTGCCCTCAGCCTTTGCTCCTTCAACCTCCTCCTTGCTAAATTAATCTGCACTCATTTTATCTCTGTGCCAATATTCCTGTGCCCCTTTCACAAGCTTAGTCAACCTATAAAAACTTACGGAGAGGCTACCAGCTGCAAGAAACTAAGTGACAAATGAAAAACGGGCACAGACTAGGAAGAATGAAGCAAAACTGTCTTAGCAAATTGGCAACGTGAAGGACAGGAGCCTTGATCCTGGGTTCCACCCACGGCCTCAGATTATATTAGTCTGGCTTTTGGCCACCGCGGTCCCACAATTCCTTCCACCCTCGCTCGGACTTCTCTCCAATTACAGATTACCTGTTCTGTCGGCATCCGACAACGGCCATCCAACAGCCTAGGCCGGGGCCTGAGCCGATCCACCACTTTCTTGAGCCGTCTTCCTTGGACTGCACCTCAACCTTCCCAAATTACAACCTGATCCTTTCCCACACCCTAGCAAGTCAGTGCTGCCTTCTCCCTCCCGACTTAACCGCAGTCTGTCTCCCGTCAGCCGGGCTCCACCCCCATCTCTCATCTGCGCCGCTCCCTCGCCAGTGAGCCTCTGCCCCATCGCGCGTCCCCTTATTCGACGGTCGAGGGCTCTACCCACTCCTCTCAGCCCCAACTCCTCACTCCCTCCTCCGCCAGCCCACTCTCGGTCCCGATACCCGAAGCTAGCTAGCGGTCACCAGCGCCAACCTGGCCCTCACCTGCATTGCGGCAACAGGGGCGGTGTCAAAGACTTCCTCTTCCGTTTCCCAAGTCAGCCAATCAGAAAGCTCAGGACTTGGCCCTCCCCCTCACTTCCTGTCCCGCCAGTCGCCAGGCCGCCGGGTCAGGGGTCACGAGCGGAGCAGCTTCTCTGGCCCGGGCCGGCGCGGGAGGGCAGTGTGATGGCCTCGGAGCGCCCGGAGCCGGAGGTGAGGGGCGGGCGGGCGCAGCGCTGGGTCCCGAGATCCGAAGGGGAGGGTCCGGCGGCCGGGCGCGGCCGTGTCCTCCTCCGGGTCCGGGGCCGCCGGGCCAGCCCGAAGCCCAGACAATCGTCTCCTCACCCGCACTTTCCTGGGGGGCCTAGAGGAGGAACTTGACGCTGTTTTGTTTGCCGAAATTTCATCCACGACGCCAACTCTAGGGCTCTCGGGTTCTTTGACCTCGTAATGGTATTAAGAAAACCTGTATTTTGATTTTCCGTTGCAGTTTCAGTGGGCAGCTTTGCCAGTTGCTGCATTTCTTCAAATATTGGAATGCCATAAACAGCATGAATTTAGTTCTAGCGCTCATGCTTTTGGAGAGCAGCTTTGGTTTCATGAAAAAACATTTGACTCAGAGAGAAGCCTCGTTCCGGTATTGGCGCTGCCCTGTAACTATCAGCGCAACTTCGGGCAAGTCTTGACTTGCCGGCCTGTTTCCTTCTTCATAAAATACTTATCATTGGTGTATTGTTAGGGTCACATGTTTTAAATCAGAAAATGCAAATAAAGTATCCATAAGGTGCTAAGGACCATGCAAGGAACTTTATATACATTGTGTCATTCAAACTTGTGCAAAGGAAGGTGGCAATACCCACTGTCATTTACAGGTAAGAAACTGAAAATCGAGAGGAGTACCTTACCCAAGTGCTACTCTCAGCTGAGGTGTAGCAGAGTTTTGGAGTTAGAAGATCTGAGTGTAAAATCTCGGATTTGGAAAGAACAACGTCACTAGGAGAGGGGCCCAGTGTTACAAGAGAATATATGAGTAGATGGGAAGGGTGAGAAATATGTATAATGGTGCAGATAGTTGTCATTACTTATTGAATGCTTACTGTGTGTCAGGGACCATCTCAGCACTTTACCAACACCAATTAATACTCTGAACCCTACGCAGTAGACAATATTACCATCCCCATTTTTCAGTTGAGGAAACTGAGGCACAGAGATAGATATTAAGAGTAATAAAGTTGCACAGCTAGTAAGTACCAGAGCCAGGACTCCAAAACTGGTGGTCTGCTGTAGATCTTGTGTTCTTAGTCATAATGTTTACAGTATAAATAATAAAGTAGCCACAGGATGGTAAATCTCCAATTCGATGTCACGAGACCCAAGATTAAATATGGTTGTAGGAAACTACCCTATTAAAAAGGATCAGATGTGTTGCCAGGGGTGATGGAGTAGCCTATGCATCAGAAATATCATTGAGAAAAACTGATGAAGGAATTTGGAGTATGTTTTGTTATGGATTAAAATGAGAAGAAATGGAGGGATGTTGTGGTGAAATACAACATACCTTTTAGGCAGGTAGTCTAAAACAGCATTGCATACAATGCAAGGCATATACGTCAGTTTTCTAGTAGCCACATTTAAAAAGGTAAAAAAAAAAACAGGTAAAATTAATTTTAATAATATATTTTTCTTTAACCCCATAGTTCCAAAACATCATTTCAATATGTAATAAATATTAAAAATTATGAGATGTTTAACATTCTTTTATTGTACCAAGTCTTTAAAATCCAGAGTGTATTTTACAGCATATCTCACTTTGGACTAACAACATCTCAAGTGCTCAGTAGCCCCATATGGTAATGGCTACCATATTGAGCAGTGCAAATCTAAAGGAACTTGGAGTCAAGACATACACTCCTGGAAGTCTCACTCAGCCAAAAGTTCATTTGTTGAATTCTTGATTTACATTTCTGAAAATTTTATCTCAGAAGGTAAAGGGAGTGAAGAGTTCTGCCCCTGAGCAAAAAAGTGACTGATCGTTAGAGGTTATTACAATTCCAAGAGAGAAATATTGGGCATAGTCAGATTTAAGAAGTCATTCATTCCTCACATACTTAAATTATTTTATGCTGCTGCTATGGCCTCAGAATTGTGCTAATTATCAGGGTGGATACGGAGCAGTGTAAGACACATTCCCTATTCTAATGGAGTGCACATGTTGAATTATGATAATAAGCGCTTCAGAGGAAAAGTACAGAATGAATGAGTGTTTAACAGGGGTTCTTAACCTAATTGTTCAGTGGAGGGGGTGGATCAGAAACCCTCAGAGGAATGACATTTAAGCCGGAAGAAGGAGTGGAAGGCGGCTGTGAGAAGAGGCAGAGTGCATGTGGCAAAGGGAGCAGTGAAAATCCTGAGGTAAGGAGGAGCTGAGAACCTTCAGAGAACTAAGACAAAGCAGCTGCCAGTGTGGGCACAGTGGCAGTGAGAATAGCTAACACGAGTGCTTACTGAGTATCATCTAATACTGGAAAAAACCCTGTGAAATAGGCACCGTTGGGACTTACCTGGCAGTCCAGTGGTTAAGACTAAGCCTTCCAGTGTAAGGGGTACGGGTGCGAGTTCGATCCCTGGTTGGGGAGCTAAGATCCCACATGCCTTGTGGCCAAAAAACCAAAACATAAAACAGAAGTAGTATTGTAACAAATTCAATAAAGACTTTAAAAATGGTCCACATCAAAAGAATCTTAAAAAAAAAAAAAAAAGGCACTCTTACTATCCCTGTTTCTCAGATGAGGAGAGTAAGGCACAGAGAGTGTAAGTAACTTCACCAAGGCCTTATACTGATAAGCAGCAGAACCAGCGTTTGATCCGAGGCGCTCGAACTCAGGTGGAGGTGGGTGAGAGAGAAGGCTGGTGAAGAAGATTCAGGTTGAAGCCGTGCTAGAGGTTCAGGACTTTGGCATAAGTACAGTGGTTCAAGGGCAGGTGGAGACTACATTATTTTGTGGGATTCTGTTAACAGAAAACAGCACAGGTTGGAAAAGTCTCCAGGAATAATTTATACCTTAACCACCAAGGGACAGGGGCAATGAACAAACAACAAATTAACGAGATGGACAATGTTTGCTTCATCCTGGTATACATGGTATGCAGCACAGTGCCTGATAATGTTTTATTCATCTTGCTATAAATGGTATATAGGCCTCAATAAATGTTCCAAAGAATGATAGGTTTCCTCTATCATTGTTCAGACTCTCCTGATTAATTGCCATAACGTCCTTCTGAAGTAGACATTCTTTTATTTTTTTTTTAATTTATTTATTTTATTTATTTATTTTTGGCTGCATTGGGTCTTCGTTGCTGCACATGGGCTTTTTTCTGGTTGCAGCGAGTGGGACCTACTCTTCATTGCGGTGCGCGGGCTTCTCATTGCGGTGGCTTCTCTTGTGGAGCACGGGCTCTAGGCGCACGGGCTTCAGTAGTTGTGGCACTTGGGCTCAGTAGTTGTAGTTCGTGGGCTCTAGAGCGTAGGCTCAGTAGTTGTGGCGCATGGGCTTAGTTGCTCCGCGGCACATGGGATCTTCCCGGACCAGGGCTCGAACCCGTGTCCCCTGCATTGGCAGGCGGATTCTTAACCACTGCGCCACCAAGGAAGTCCCTGAAGTAGACATTCTTATCCACATATAGATATAGATAGTTATAGATGAAGAAACAGGCCTGGAAAAACTAACTTGTCCAAGCTCACCTAGATAGCAAGTAGTAGAGCCAGATTTAAATCCAGATCTCTGACTTCGAAACCCTGCTTTCTCTTTGCCAGACTGCTCCAGTACACTTCAGACTCAGAAGGATTAAGTATCAGGGATTAAAGCTCCATATGAGTGTGGGTGTTGGGAGAACACAACTAATTCAGGGATTCTCTAACAGTAAAGCAGAAGAATCACTTGGGGGAGCTTGTTACGTATAGCTTCCCAAGCTCTCAGCTCTTAATTCAATTGGTCTCGGATGGTGCCCAGGAATCTGCATTTTAACAAGCACCTCAGGTGGTTCTGATGCTGCTGGTCCTTGGATCACACTTGAAAAAATACCATTCTGGCTGCTTTAATTAATTCTTGAGTCTTTAGTTCTGTTAAATCACCTCTTGAATGTGAAGAAAACTTAGAGATGATGTTTGTGAAAATGTAGTTGTTGACTTGGAAGGATCATGTATGGGGGAAATGTTGCGAGAAAACTCGAGTTAGGAAATGTTCCTGGTTTCAAGAGAGTGAATTCTATAAGAACTGATTGGTGAACTAGACTTCAGTTTGGCCTTGAAGAGTCAGTCTGTCGTTCAAAATAACCTTTGGGCTTCCCTGGTGGTGCAGTGGTTGAGAGTCCGCCTGCCGATGCAGGGGGCGCGGGTTCGTGCCCCGGTCCAGGAAGATCCCACATGCCGCGGAGCGGCTGGGCCCGTGAGCCATGGCCGCTGAGCCTGTGCGTCCGGAGCCTGTGCTCCGCAATGGGAGAGGCCACAGCAGTGAGAGGCTCGCGTACCGCAAAAAACAAAAAAAACAAAAACAAAAACAAAATAACCTTCGAAACAAGGTGGAGAAATGGAAGCTGCACAGCAGTGGAATTAAGCAGCCTACTAAC